ATTTGATTGGCTGAAATCGATATTGACCGCGGTCTAGATTTTCCCATCTAGACCGACATCTAGACCGGTTTCATTTTGCGTTGAAAAAGTAGCAAACTAAAATACAAAAATGTTCACCGTTTTCTCTGTTTTCCTCTCAACCATTTATGGAAGTGCCAAAAGCCTGACGACAAAAAAAAAAGTAAAGAGGACGAGCAAATTTCGGCAGGTTTAAGTTAAGCCCATCTCTGTTTGCAAGCAAACCAGTTCTATTGAACGAATTAAAATTTTCTCCTTTGCCATATAATAAACATCTTATTAACCGAGCTAAGTCGGTCTGTATGGGAGAATCTTGACCTCGGTTGTGTGTACAGACCTCACTGCGTTCGGTCTGTATTCACAACCTCGGTCAAGATTCTTCCACACAGACCTCCTGCTCGGTTTATAAGAGCTAAATAATTCGTTCGGTAAATCGTTATCACCGCCATCCGGTGTGGCCATCGTGGCCAAAACAAGCCAAGCGCCCGGTCAAGCGCTCTGGAAAAGGTCGAAAGACTAAGAAAAACTAGAAAGGATCGGGGGCAGAGGGGTGGTCAACATTACAGGCGCAAGCGTCGAAAATGTCGGAAATGGATAGCCTGTATAGCTTGGCGGTTTTTAAGCAATTTGAGCGCGTTAAGAAAGCGGCGAAGCCGCGATAACGAGCGCCAAAGCCGCGAGGAGCCAATGGACAGATGTCATTAAAATCAGAGACCAACACAAATGATCGAAATAGGACTCAAAGACCTCATACAGTCTCATGATACTAACGTAATCAAGCGATAATGGATACGTTTGACAGAACCTGACAGGGTAGAGAGCCGTTGCTATTCATTAGAAACCTGACACAACTATGATATGCACAAAAGGTTCATTTCTACCAGCTTGCGGTTTTTGCGCTGGTCAATTTACGAGGTCATGTAAGAATTTAAATCCCGTATCCCACTCTATTCCCCTTGCGAATTCCGCATCCCAACCCCATAAAAACACGAAATCCCGCTCCCGCTCGTAATTGTAATTCCTGCTTCCCGCCCCTGTTTTCAGCTCAAATCCCGAATATCACGGCGAAAAAAAGCCAAATCCCGCATCCCGCCAAACCTATTGGGGACCTTCTTAATAAGCTGCTCTCGTTTATAGCATAGGCCAAATCGTTCACAAAAATATTAAAAAGAAGCGGTCCTAATATTGACCCCTGGGGTACACCACTACGAACGACATTCCACGATNCAGAGGCCAACGCAAATGATCGAAATAGGACTCAAAGACCTCATACAGTCTCATGATACTAACGTAATCAAGCGATAATGGATACGTTTGACAGAACCTGATAGGGTAGAGAGCCGTTGCCATTCATTAGAAACCTGACACTGCTACATGCACAAAAGGTTCGTTTCTACCAGCTTGCGGTTTTTGCGCTGGTTAATTTACGAGGTCATGTAATAACCCGTATCCCGCTCTATTCCCCCTGCGAATCCCGCATCCCAACCCCATAAAAACACGAAATCCCACTCCCGTTCGTAATTGTAATTCCCGCTTCCCGTCCCTGTTTTCAGCTCAAATCCCGAATATCACGAAGAAAAAAAGCCAAATCCCGCATCTCGCCAAACCTATTGGGGACCTTCATGAAAGCCACAGAACCTTGCGTCACATTTGTTCCTTCCCCTATTAAACGGCAACATGCTTGCCATGACGCAAATGCTTATTCTTCAAGTCTTTTTGTTATCAACATATTGTAAAAGTGGTGACACTACTCGCAGGCTAACTTAAATCCTGTGTACTTCCGGATAAGAAGTATCGCTCTTTTTTTCAAATCAGTCACTAGCGAAAGCGAAAATAGCGCGGTATACCCGACATGTACGAGATACTGAGCAGCCTGCGGACTTGGTACTAATGACAAGAAGGGCCTAGACACAACCGATCGCAGCTCGGTTAAAATTATTGTCAACATTACACTGGCCAGCTTTTCGTCTCTTTATTAATTTCTTTATTCTCTTCCTGAGTTAGTGAGGGCCGATTACTTTGACTCGAAATTACAAGTTGCGTTCGCGCACGAAACATACTCGCGCGTGCAACCCCGCTGGCTACGTCATTCATTCTCCATCCCATTCAAACGAAAACTTCATTGAACTAGCGTAAACGAAGAACGACACGTACATACGCGATCTTTTGAACCTCATGCGTGACCGAGTCGCCTTACGTTATAAAATTTATTTCCCCACAAAAATTTGCCTTTTGAATTGATATTTCTATTTTAATATCAGAACGCACGTTCACGTTGAGTCAAACATCAAACAATATATAAGATAGATTCCGAACGCACACCAGACATTCACGTTTTCGCAATCACATTAGTCATTGCCGTTAGTTTGAGAGGAAACAATGCGTATTACGAGAAAGGGTTGTTGAAATAAGGCACAAAAGACTGTGCTGTTGGTCATTGATTTTTATAACATTTGGTGGCTCCTAAAGGAGCCGTCTGTTTTGGCGGGAAACCCACAAAGTGAGTTTACTTGCTGCTGGTGTACTTGGTCACAGCCTTGGTTCCTTCACTCACGGCGTGTTTGGCCAGTTCACCGGGCAGAAGCAGCCTGATGGCGGTCTGGATCTCGCGGGAGCTGATGGTTGATTTCTTGTTGTAGTGGGCAAGGCGGGAAGCTTCGGTGGCGATGCGCTTGAAGATGTCGTTGACGAACGAGTTCATGATGCCCATGGCTTTGCTGGAGATACCAGTGTCAGGGTGCACT